TAGCTAACATTTACTGAGCAATCACTGAATGTCAGATATAACTACAAGAATTTTAAACATGTTAGTTTGATCCATGTCAAACTAAGTTTTTCAGTTAAAACTAGTTGAGCACTGGCAACTATAGTCAGTTAATTCTCACAGCATCACTATGAGGTAGATGCTACCATTATTCTTTATTATAAATGGATGAAAATAATATATAGTGTGAGTAACAAGGTTGCCTGACAAATGAATGTTAGTTTAGATCATCTCTAAGAGAACAGGAATGATCTCAGGTAGAGAAAGTCATATTTGTGGCTTCAGAGACAGCCAGGAAATATGCATACTTGAGAGATAGAAAACAAGACTGTTGGCATCCATCAGAAGCTGATGTAAGAGGTCTATGGGCAAGGATACCCATTTAAGGGGTGTCTCAGGGCTATAGAGATAGATATAATGTCCTTACAAACATGCTCGAAAATCATAAGAAAGTTTAGACAGAGTGGAGAAAGTGAAAACTGGGATAGGATGTGAATTTTGGAAATGAATATATCATTTTTTTGGAAAAAAGGTGTGGTTATTGGTTCTTAAAGGTAAAAATGAGGATGAAGAAAGAAACAGCTGGATGCATAAAATAAAGAACAAAGAGGATCCCAGACAAAGGAAATAAGATGGCATGAAGATGTTGAGCTGGAAGCAATAGAGGCTGGGAAGGAAAATCCACTTAGCTTGCTAGCAAGTTTCAAAATCAGTATTAAATAAACTGGAAAATGTTCCTAAAAACATTAAACATAAGCCTCTAGTACAAAATGTTTCATATAAAATGGAATTTCAGCCTCAAGCCTTAGAGGAAACATTCACATGCCAATTGTATAGTAGAGAGTATCAGAAATAGTTTTGGGGAAGAAACAACAAGGTATACCTCCCAAATGTTTCCCCAATTTTTCATAAGGTTCTTCATGTTTTTTCTTAGAAACAATGAAGAAATTATTAACATATACCACGTTTATGTTTAACTTAATTTTTAATCCCCAATTTTAATACTTTTCAAGAGAAGAAAGTCTGATTGAGGGAAGGATATTATCCAAAAACAAATGTACTCATTACCTAACTTATGAAACAGTAACTCTTCTGTACATCACCTTTATAATAACAATGAAAAAATAAAATAAGATTTAAAACAAGAGAGAACAAAGTCTGTAGAACATGACAAAATGCAACTATTGCATGGATTTTTAAAAATTCTTGAAAACTAGTCAGGTTCACACCTATAATTCTAGCTACCCAAGATTCAAAGTCAGCAGGTCAGGAAAGTCCATATGAGTCTTCTCTCCAATTAGTCATCAAAAATCTGGAAGTGGAGCTGTGGCTCAAGTGGTAGAATACCAGACTTGAGTAAACAAGTAAGGGACAGTACCCAGGCCCTGAGTTCAAGCCTAGTACCAGGATGCAGGCATGCATAAATAAATAAATCTTGAAAAACATTTCCCTGCTTCATTTATTGGAGAAAAGCCAAAAGGAAATAATAGAAGGAATTACCTCGCTGGCAATTTCCCTGGAGGCTTTGGCATGTTTGATTTCTATGGCATCAGCTCGCAGGTCATAGCCTTTCTGCTTGGCCTCATCCCAGTCTTTTTGATAGAGTTTCTATTAAGGCAAAATACAAGTGTGTTAACAAGAATTGAAAATAAGAAATATACTCAAAGTAGTATAATCCATAAAGAGGGCCACAGAAGAAAAACAAGCTTTTTTATAGGATACTTCTGATTAAAATTTAGAGCTATCCATCACAATATGATATACATTGTACATGAGATTAAGATTCAACATGAGGCCAAAAACGTTTCTCCAGATATCAGAGAAGACACGATAAGATTTCTCCTAATTTTACCCTTTGACTTACCAAAAGTTTCTGCTAATGTGACAAAGATATCTTGCCTTTTGAAAAACAATCAAAATTACGCCTCTTTTGGTTTTTATATAGCTTTGAAATGTCAAATAATAGAGTCTTAGATCAATCAACCTAAGTGATCAGTTCTTTATAGAGTCAGGGGCACTTGATTACAGAGGACTTCATTATTCCTAAATAACACATAAGGAAGTTAACCTAGCCAATGTCTATGGGAAGATGGTTTCAAGGTTGAAAGGAGAACACTGATAGGGCTCACACATCCCAGCTCATGAAGTTTAGGCACCCAGATACATATCTAAGATAATGTTAAATGACAGAATTTCCATTCAGTTGTTTTAGAAATGATAGCTAAAGAAACAAAAATATGTACATATCAGTGGGCACTGGTATCTCCTGCCCATAACCTTAGCTACTCAGGAGGCCAAGGTCTGAGGATCACATCTTTAGTACAGCCTGGGCAGTAAAGTCTGTGAAACTCTTCTCACCAATTTAACAGAAAACAGCCACAAGTAGAGATATGGCTCAAGTGCTAAAATAACAACCATCAACAAAAAACCCATGTGAGAGTATGAGATCCTGACTTCAAGCCCCAGTCAAATTTCATTATTTTTAATATAAGATCTAGCACCAAAAGGCCATTATATTTCTAAGGCAAATGATTCGCCATTTTGTAGCACATCCCACAAACTGATACATTGTTCCATGTAGTCTTTCAACCATGTTTATATCACTTACATTGCTGATTTGCAAGGCATTGATTTGGGCCTGGAGCATGACTGGAGTATCTGAGGGGATGTTGATGTTGGTTTTATCTTTATTCCAGGCTTCTTGATACAGTCTCTGTGGAGAGAAGGAAAATATTACTTTGACTCAGTTATAAAGAATGGATTTCTGAGGGGGGTGGCGCAGGTGGCTCATGCCTGTAATCCTAGCTACTCAGGAGGCCGAGATCGGAGGATCATGGTTCAAAACAAGACCAGACAGGGAAGTCCATGAGACTCTTATCTCTAATAAACCACTCAGAAGGGGCTGAGAAGTGGCTCAGTGGTAGAGCGCTTGCCTTGCATGCCTGAGGCTCTAAGTTCAATTCCTCAGCACCACATAAGCAAAAAGAAAAAAGCCGGAAGTGGCGCTGTGGCTCAAGTAGTAGAGTGCTAGCCTTGAGCTGAAGAGCACAGGGACAGTGCCCAGACCCAGAGTTCAGTCCCCATGACCGAACCCCCCCCCCAAAAAAAAAACACTCAGAAAAGCTGAGGAGCTGAGGGACAGCACTCAGGCCGAGAGTTCAAGCCCCATGACTGACCAAAAAAAAAAGAGAATGGATATCTGAAACATTAAGTTCTAGTCATTATCCGGAAAAAAATGTTTCAATATATGTTTATGATGATTAATTTGATATATTAACTTGAATAAATAATATTGCTATTTGGTTACTCATTAGTCCCAATATTTGTACAAAGGTGCTTTAAAAAATAATATTAACATTTGAATCAGCTAAGACAAAATATCCTCCTTAATGTGGGTAGATCTCATCCATTCACTCAAAGACCAAGAAGGAATTCTACCATCATTTGATCATCCCTGCATCCTACCTTGTAGATTTTGGAACTACCTAGTGTACATAATTATATGAGCTAATTCCTTAAAATATCTTTGACTCTATCCACATATACCTATATATGTATATCACATTGGGGCTGTTTCCCTAGAGAATCCCAGACCATACAATATTATGTTTATCATTATGTCATTATATCAATATATCATTTATGATGTAGGTTTATGTTATATACTGATATTAACAGGAGTTAAATATTTATTTCCTCAAATCACCATGAAGTAACTTCTTTTTTTTTTCAGTTGACTAGAATCCCATTAAAAATTCTTTTTTTTTACTTTCCTAAATTCTTTTTTTAAATTTTATTTTATTTTATTTGTGAACATACTGTACAGAGGAGTTACAATTACATGGGCAGGATAATGCATACATTTCTTACCAAGCATTGCAGCCTCCTCCTTTGTTTACCCTTCACATCCCTTCCCAGCCTCTCCCCTCCCCCCCAATCCCAATCATGAAGTAACTTCTTTTATTTTAGTTCTTCAAAGAATGTGCTGTAGTTGTCAGAGCTCTACTTTGTGTATTCCTTTACTAATAGACTCTCAGATTGTCCCTTGTCTCCTTATTAGGTTTCACTGTCATTAGCACAACCCAGAAACCAGAAAAATGAAAGCTTGGCAGTAAAGTGATCCTTACCTCACTCATTTGCAGAGAATTGGCTTTTGCCAGGACAATCTCTGGTGTGTCAACAATAGTGGTGAACTTCAAGGCTTCTGGTGGTGTTCTGTATAGCCTTTCATTCACAAGGTCTTGAGCACCCTTCACTCTGGTCAATTCTATGGAGCCCTGTGGCATCCAGCCGATGCCACGCAGCCATTCCAGGTCAGCTTTATACACACTCTAAAGACATTAGGTAAAAATGTTAGATATACCACCCTCTGGCTGAACACGAAAGCTCAAGAGGGTGAGAAGAGGATAAATATAGGAGATGGTAGTTCTGCCAAATAAGACCCAAAGACCTTACATGAATCTCAATATGGGTGGCCAAGTTGTTTATAAAAGCTTAGCCATTTGTTTTAGTCACAAATAATAAATAGTGTTAACAAATTCTACGATATTATAGGATGTTATTACTTGGTTTCAAACAATTACATAGTTGAAAAAAACCCTTAAAATTCATCAAATTTCATTCCATTTTAATCATGTAATAATGGATTCAACAAAAAAGACTAGCATTTTGGACCAAAGCACTCAGATTGTTTTATGTTTCTTTGAAATGTATTTCACTGTTAGATATTATAAATGACAGGAAAAAATAGTTTGAAATCAAAGCCAGAAAATAAAGGACATAACCTCATTATTTCCTTTGGCTATATCCTGTAGCTCATCTCTATATTTTGCTTTCTGTGATGTAAGTCTTAAATACAGGTTTTAAACAATGTGAATGCTATACCCCCACTTCCAGCCCCACCCTGGAATAGGCATATCTGCAAATCTGTCTACAGAGGCACTGATAGCCCTCCCACTCCCCAATCCCTGAACTTTACGTACATCACTCTGTAGTTCATAGGCCTTCTTTGCCTGGATAATGTCGTTTTGGTCAGGTAAGCATGTCCAGTTATGCAGGTAGTTGCGATAATCCACATCACTGACTAGGGTCTGGCACTTCTTGGCTTGCACTACCCCCATCATGTCCACTGGGCTGCTGTACTTGGTCTTCCACTTCTCAAAGTCCTTCTTGTATTCCCTTTCACTGTGAATCTTCCCCGCATGGATGGCACACATAATCCTGGGGTCATCTTCAATACTCTGGGCTCCAATGTGATGACCTTTCTGTTTCTCATAGGCTTCCTTGTATTTGTACTAAAATACCCAAAACACACAGGTTTAAAAATCCAGTCTTAGGATCAGACTTATGCTGACAGTGTGAAATGAATAAGAATTTCATACCTTAAACATTTTGACACCTCAGAACAAGTTTTTTTTTTTTTTACACTATCTAACCTTTTATGAGCAAGGAAAAGGTCTTGGAGGGTAGAAAGCAAGACCAGAAGCATGCAAGTAGAGAGCACAGCCCATCAGCCCTGTGGTAGGTTGCTCAGCACTGTGGAGATCAAGGGAGCCAGAGGGAAGGAGCTCACCTCACTGGCAATGTCCCTGGAGGCCTTGGCACTTTTGATGGAAATAGCATCTGCTCTCAGATCATAGTCCTTCATCTTTGATTCATCCCATCCTTTGGTATAAAGTTTCTAGGCAGAAGATCAAACAACACAGAAAATAGAAGTGTTTTAAGAACGTTAACAGGTCAAACTGTTAAGGTACAGAAAAACATTTTAATAAACTTGTAAAAGTCTTAAACAACAACAGAAAAAATTTCTTACATGGCTGATATTGACAGAATTGCTCTTGGCTAGCAGGATTTCCGGGGTATCTGGCATCACGTGGATGGAGGCCTTGTCAGCATCCCAAGCTTCTGTGTACAAATGCTATGGGAAGGTGGGGAGAAATAAAACCTTCCATTAAAGCCAATAATGGCTTAGTTAAGTATACATGATCCTTTCTTGATTATTTGGAGTGAGAACAAGAAAGTAGTGGAGAACAAAACGTGGTTACATTTGGACTGCTATAAAATAGGTTCAAAGCTAATATAAAGCAATATAGAGAAATGGTATAACACCTTAATCATAACAATAAAGTTATTTTTTAGCTACCGAGGTCTAATGATCAATTCTTTTCATCCAGTGAATCAGAAGCTTATCGTTAGGCTCTCCAAGGACAGAGCTGGGTCACACAGATATGATATGATAAAGACTGCTACAAGCAAAAAGTCAATCTCAAGTTCAAACTGAGCTCTACTATTTCCCAGCTTTGTGATCTTCAGAAAGGTACTCTGCACTTCCTTCCTATGGAGGAGACATATATATATTCTTTGTTGAGTAGTTAAAAATGCTTTTAATTGTTATTATAAAGGTGATATACAGAGGTGTTATCATAAGTACACTTTTGGGCAATGTTACCTCTTTGCTCACTCTTTCCCATTTTTCCTCTCATTCCCACTCACAAGTTGTAGTTCATAAAGTGTCTAGTGAGTAAGTACCACTGCTGCATTTGTTCAACCTGTGAGGTAGTTTTAAAGATTAACCATATGTAAAAATGCCTGAGCCCTAAGAAGTCCTCAAAAGTTTTTTTTTAGCACTTCCTAGAATTATTATCTTTATTGTTATAGTTGATAGGTATGGTATAAAACAGCATTTCTGGAATTGCATATCTACAACTCTGCAGTTTGCTATCTGAGGGATAATTTCCTATTCCATTCTAAGCACTACATCTCACTGCCCTATTAGTTGGAAGCTACTGAGATAGAGGTTGGAAAATTCACTTAAGTTTCATCTAAAGTGTGCATATTAAGGGCCCAAAGACTGCATAAAAATAGACAAGTTGATATGATACTGAGCAAAGAAGCGATCATCTATTTTGGGTTACAAAATGGTAAACAACAATAGCAATCTTCTTTCACATGTAGCTTTCCAATCCTATGATGGCAAAACAAAGCAGATAACTAATTTGAGTTGGATACTGGCTATGCCATAAAATGCTGTTCGTTGCATGATATATTCCTTACTGATGGGCAGAGAAAACCAGCTCCCTGGGTATGCTTTGCTAAGAGGACTGTATATGGAAATGTAACACGTGTGTATCTCCTGATTGTAGCTGAAGTGGGTATATACATCATTCAAGGCAAGTCCTCTAAGCTATGTTTTCATACTCATGCAGAAAAATAGAGGGCTCAGATTGAAAAGAACAGAGCAAGCCAACTAAAATTCATACAGATGCCACGGGGAAGGCCTGCGTGGGAACCAGGCCCATCCTATCTGCTTTCTTCAGGGCCATTCAGGCCAAGTTGATTGAAGGCACAGCTGGCAGCAGGAAGCCTCTAAGGACTCACCTTGCTCATTGTCAGGGCATTATTCTTTGCCAGGACAATTTCTGGGGTGTCTGGAATGCATGTAAACTTGAGCTGGTCCGCAGGCTGACGATATTTCCTATCACTCAAGATTTCTCCAGCTCTCTTCACCTTCTCCACCTCCAGAGAGCCAATGGGAACCCATCCAATGCCTTTCAGCCACTCCAGATCAGCCTTATAGACAGCCTGGAAACAAAGTAATGTCAGACATCTGTAGACACTGTCTAGTCATCCTGATATCTGCCTTTAACACATAGAGATAATGTATAATTTTGAATCTTACTTGTATACACTTTTGGAAGATACACAGGATTGCTTTCTTTTGTTGAGACAGAGTAGACAAAGCCTTGTTCCTGACAACAGCCAATATGTGCTTTTATATGCTAGCATTTGGGCTTGCACTCAGTACCACAAGTTATGCCTAGCTAATGGCTGGTGCTTTACTACTAAGTCATACCTCCTCTCTGGCATTTTGCTGGCTAATAGAGTCTCATGCACTTTTCTGCTTAGGTTGCTTTATCTCAATCTTGACAAGTCAACCTTCTAAAGTAGCTAGGATTACAGGCATGGGCCATTGATGACTGGCCAATATTTTCTCTACTAATTTAATTTCTCTACTAATATATTTTCACTGGTATTCAATCACTTTAAGGAACTTCCTTGCCTGGCTCCTGAAACAAGGTGTTTATTCTTTGCAGTGATTGGCTCCTTCAATTGGAAATCAAATTGGGAATACTCTGTTAGAATACAGAGAGCTCCTATCTTAAGGTAGTGATCACACACCAATCATGTGATACACAAAATAGATGAACCGTATTGACTGAACACTTGTGAAGTAATGTCTTCTCTGAAGTCAACAAAAATGACAAGCTTCTTTCATCATAAGACTCTAGGTACATGATTCTAAGTCAAAGTATACAGATATTTTCCTTCTTATTTATCTAGTTCCAAGTTCCTTTTCTTGTCTCAAAATTCAAGTAAAAAAGGTGGATACTGGTGTCTTACGTCTGTAATACTAGCTACTCAGGAGGCTGTCAGCTGAGGCAGGAAAGTCCATGAGACTGTTATCTCTTATTAACCACCAGAAAACCATAAGTGGCACTGTGGCTCAAAGTGGCAGAGTGCTAGCCTTGAGCACAAAAGTGGAACAACACCCATGCCTTGAGTTCAAACTCCATAGTTAAAAAAAAAGACATTTAATGATTTCATTTTCTTTGCTGAATTTAAATAATTAGAGATTTTTTCCTCAAAAGAACAAACAATTCTTTTTGTAGGCTCTTTAGAAATTTTTTTTTACAATACCACTGCTTTCATCATTTTCCAAATATGACTATTTAGTCAGAGCTTGGCTCAAACAAGAGGCCATAATACCAATAAAATATTGCTTAAGTTGCCAAAGGAAAACCTACTGGTAGATAACTCAATCAATTCATTTGGAAAACAGGTTTGCTTATACCTTTGTTGTTGTTGATCATGGGGCTTGAACTCTGGGCCTGGGTGCTGTCCCTGAGCTCTTCAGCTTAAGGCACTTGAGCCACAGTGCCACTTCCAGTTTTCTGATGGTTAATTGGAGATAAAAGTCTCATGAACGTTCCTGCCTGGGCTGGCTTTGAACCATGATCCTGAGACTTCAGCCTCTTCAGTAGCTAGGATTACAGGGATGAGCCACCAGCATCTGGATTTGTGTGTAGAGTTTTAAAGATAAGCTTACATAATTAGAAGCTAAATATAGCTCAGCAATGGCCATCTGCATATGGAAAGCCGAAGAATTGGTAGCTGCTCAGTCAAAAAATAATAATAATAGATTCAGAACACAGGGCAGGGAGTAGTGATACAGCACCAATAGAGGCTGAAGACCTAGAAAGCTCTGTGAAAGGTGACTCCTGTGAGTCTGTTTTGAAAGGATGAAGAAGCTGGAGTCTGGTTCATGAGTCATGGTAGCAGCAGACATCCATAACGACCTAACTTTTTTTTTAACAATTTTTTTTCAAGGAAGATGTTACTGGAGATTAAACTCAAGATCCATTGCATGCCTGACAAATGTTCTACCTTTTGAGCCAGACCTCGGCATTTTTTGTTGTATTTTGCTTCTGAGATAGAGACTTGCGAACTTTCTTGCCTGATCTGGCCTCAAGCACTTGATTCTCCTGTCTCCATCTCCTGAGCAGCTGGATTGTAGGTGTAAACCACCATTCCAGACATTATTTTCATTAACTTCTAACTGAAATATAGCATTTCATTCAATTATTGGGTGAGGCCATGGATCACAGTGGTATTAACACTAAAGTGCCTTTGTCAACAACATCCTATTATTACTACAAATGCTGCTGACATCTTAAAATATTTACAAAAAAAGCTTTTCTTTTAAACTATTTACCACTCCTTGTAGCTAGTTATTATTATATGATTGTAATTCCTCGCTGTGTTAACAAAAACAAATACGCTACTGAATCACAAATTTGGAATAATACTTTCAGAACTATATCTAAATATGGCTTTCTTATGACAACAATGTGTTTATCTTATTTTATGTATTTCATATCATTTTCCTGAGAAAGTATCCTGGGTGTTACCAAACTGCAGAAAGATTCTGGGGTGCATACACACAAAGTAGAACCTCTTTCTAAAGCTGCAGATGCATGGCTGAAGACCATGTTTAAAGAAAGACCTACTTACATCACTCTGCAGGTCATAGGCCTTCCGAGCCTGAATGACATCATTCTGATCAGGCAAGCAGGTCCATTCATGTAGGAGATGCTTGTAGTCTATGTCGCTTACAAGGATCTGACACTTCTTGGCCAGCACCACCCCCAGCATGTCCACTGGGCTGCTGTACTTGGTCTTCCACTTTTCAAAGTCCTTCTTATATTCTCTGTCACTCTGGATCTTGGCCACATGCATGGACCACATCATCTTGGGGTCATCTTTAATGTTCCGGGCCCCAATATGGTGACCAACCTGTTTGCGGTAGCCTTCCTTGTACTTATACTGAAGAAAGAAAAGGAATATTTTTTTATTATTTTTGTAATCATTTATTTGTATTTATTTGTATTTTCTCCATTATCATAAAGAAACAAGGTAAATATCATCAACTCCTTTTATAAAGTAGAACCTGGTAGCAAGACTAAGCCTAGACTAGAGAGCTTATTCTGAACATTTTCCCTTTTTCCTACATTATCCAGTGTATACTGAATTCCTTTATAAGATAAACCATTTTGTATAATCTACAGAGCTTCTACTTAAAAGACATGGTTATTTTTTCCTGAAAGTTTTTGACATTAGGAATACTTAGGAATAAAATTCTTCTTTTTAGAGTTCATACTGAATTCCTTGGTCAAGGATGTATTAGACATTTAAGTAGAATATATGTCACCAGGAAATAGCTCTCTTACTAGTCTGCCAATATAAATGAACTTTCACAAGGAGACAGTTATGCCTTGGGTTAAGACTCTGATTTCCTTTTTAAATTCAAGAATATGGCATCCTGGTCCATTTTACCATGAGGAGATCATAGAGTGACCCTCTTTCTCCAGCTTACTAGCTAGAAAAGGCTTTAGTAATAGAATAAATGTAAATCTAAGGTGTTGGGTCCTTACAGAATAAGTCTGCATTTGTGTCCTAAAGAGGCATGGTACACAGAGAGGATATGGGTACCCGGCAGATGTTCCTCATGCTAAAGGGGGTAAAGAGGCCAGTTGGTATTGAGAAAAGCCTCACTTCCCAGGCTGTTCTTGAATCCTATGAGAGGTATTTTAGTAAGAAAACTTCACCGATGGGGCTGGGAAGGTGGCCCAGTGGTAGAGCACTTGCCTTACATGCCTGAAGCCCTGGGTTCGATTCCTCAGCACCACATAAGCAAAAAGAAAAAAGCCAGAAGTGGCACTGTGGCTCAAGTGGTAGAGCGCTAGCCTTG